CGCTGTCTGGGTGCCGGGGTTGGGTGGGCGGGGACGGCAGGGGGGGCCCTAGGGGCAGCCGGTGCCGCGGGCGAGCCCAGCAGTGGCTCCGCTGGCAGCGGGATGCACCGGGGCTGGGCTCGGGTGCGGAGGGCTCGGGGATGTCCTCTCCTGTCCCCAGCGCCTGCCCCGGGCGTAAGCAGAGCTGGGGGCAGGTGATGCTGCTGGAGAGCTGCCGGGCGTACCCGGGATGCTGCTGGCATGTCCCACCCTCTGTCCCCCCCAGCCCGAGGAGCCGCAACCCCCACCCTGAACACCCCCAGACACCCCGTGCACACACATGTGTGTGCGAGTCTGCGTGAGCGTGCACACCGATGCACGTGCAGGGTGTGCGCCCCAACGTCCCCACCCGCGGCAGGGTGTGGGGCCAGCGGCTGAGCCCCCCGCAGCGCCCTGGAGGCGATTCCCCTCCCCGGGGACCGGGTCTGACTTCGGCCTCGCTTCCCCCAAGGACTAGCCCTGCGAGCCTGGGGCTACAGGGCAGGGTGGGGGTCCTGGGTGCTCCCCTCGTCCTGGCCCACAGCTCCCTGGGGTGCCGGGGAGCATCGCCGCCCACCGTGGGGGAGTTTGGCAGCTCCCACCGAGTCCTTCCCCTGGTGATGGGGTGGCCCTGGGGAGGGGGTGCTGGGGGTCCCGGGGAAGGGGTGCTGGGGGTCCTGGCAGCTGCCCCGTGCTCACACCCCTCCCCGGTCCTGCCGGCAGCGGGGTGGGCCTGGCCCGAGCCCACTTTGAGAAGCAGCCCCCCTCCAACCTGCGGAAATCCAACTTCTTCCACTTCGTCCTGGCCATGTACGACCGGCAGGGCCAGCCCGTGGAGATCGAGCGCACCTCCTTCATCGACTTCGTGGAGAAGGAGCGGGTGAGACCCTGGGGCCGGGGCTGTGGTCGGGACGGGCTTGCGGCGGGGCTGGGGTCACCCTGCCCAGCCATCCCCTGCTCTTGGAGGGGCGCGGGAGGCTGCTGCGGGGGCTGAGGCCTCTCCCAAACTCATTGCACATGTGGGGAGTTGCCAGAGCAGCTCCGCAACCCTGGGCCGGGCTGGTGCTGGCGGAGGGCTGCATCGAGAGGGGACAGTGATGTCCCCTGTCCTCCCCCCAGGAGCAGAACGGCGAGAAAACCAACAACGGGATCCACGAGCAGGACCTCTACGTCCGCCTCATCGACTCCATGTCCAAGCAGGTAAGGCGGAGGGGGGATGGCCGGGGTGGGGGCTGGCACCCCCGGCACCGCAGCCCCCCACCCCGTCGGCCACCGAGTCCCCAGGGCTGTCTGCACACGCGTGCGCACACGCGGGAGTGCCAGGCGGGCACGTCTGTGCGTGGGCACACAGCTGGGCAGAGCGGGCACATCTGTACAGATGTGTGCCCATGCGGGTGGGCAAGGCCACGCAGCTGAGCGTGCACGCCCAGGTGTGCAGAGCGGCCCGTCTGCACTTGCACACGCATCCACGTGCATGAGCACGCGTCTGTGCGCTGGCATGAAGGCAGGCGTGCACGAGCGCCCGCAGCCACGTGTGCACAGGCACGCACATCTGTGCACAGCGCGGGCGCGCGAGCCTGTGGATGGGTGCACACGAACCTGTGCATGGGCGCACACGGCTGTGCGTGTGCAGGCCTGGGCACACACACGCATGGGCACCCACGCATGCACACGCACCTCCTCGGAGGCGTGCACGGCTGCACCCCCACCCACGAGCGCTCCCTGCCCGGCCCCTCGCCCACCCCAGCGGGGGTCACCCGGGGAGGGTCCGTGGGTCGGGGACGGGCTGGAGCGGTGGCAGGGGACGGGCAGGGTGCTGGGAGGCGGTGGCACCCCCCTGGGCGCTCTCTCCCCTCCTGCAGGCCATCATCTACGAGGGGCAGGACAAGAACCCCGAGATGTGCCGGGTCCTCCTCACCCACGAGATCATGTGCAGGTAGGTGGGGGCCCGGGGGGGCCCGGCGGCACCGGGGGTGGCGGGTTGGGCAGGCGGGCAGCGGGGCGGGGTCCCCCATGCCCCATTAGCGTCGTTCTTGTTTACCACCCTCGTGCTCGGTGTTTGTGCAAATTAGCGCTCCGTGCCAGCGCCGCTAATTGCCCTCCGGGAGCCGCGCTAACGATGCCAGGGCCGGGGCCCCCCTCTCTGCCGTGCTCCCCAGGGCCGGCACCGCCGTGTTTGTCTGCCGGTGGTGGCACGAGCCCGGCCCTGCCGTGTCCCCCGTGGGTGATGGGGGACCCCCCCCTTGGCTCACCGACCGTCTCCCAGGGCTGGGGGGCACCCTGAGCCCCAGAGAGCCCCAAACCAGAGCCCAGCCCCATGGTGCGGGGCGGTGGGGTGGATAAGGGGGGTACCCCAGGGGTGCCCTATCTGCCATGGCCCCCCATGCCCTAGCATCACACAGGCCACGTCCCTGTCCCGGGGTGTCCCCCCCCGACCCCAGCACCCTGGGACCTTGTGGGGCACCCGCCTGTGCCCTCTGCACCTCTGCCCCCCGCCCCATCCCGCCGTGGGGCAGGGACCCCCCTGCTCCGCAGGGCTGGGCGATGGTGGGGGGCTCAAAGGTGGGAAATGGGGGTCTGGCGGGTTCTCCCCTGGGGTTTGGGGGTGTGGGGCTGGTCCCGGCCCCCCCTCGCTCCCCTCACACCGGCTCCTCTCCCCGGCCGTGCCCAGCCGCTGCTGCGACAAGAAGAGCTGCGGGAACCGCAACGAGACCCCCTCCGACCCCGTCATCATCGACAGGTACCGGGGGCCCGGGCGCGGGGCCCCCTGCGCCTCGCTGGGGCCGAGGGAGGGGGGCAGCGCCGGGGGGTCCCCCAGGGAGCCAGGCCGGGGGGTCCCCCGGGCTGGGGACCGGGTGTGAGCGCTGCCTCGTTAGCGGTAATGAGCTGGGGGAGCAGCGCGCGCGGGCCGGGAGGGTGCGCGGTGCCCCCAGTCCGTCTCGCTGCGGTGGCTGGTGGCCCTGCGCTGGGCTGCGGTGACAGCCAGCCGTGACAGATGGGGAAAGCGCCGTTTGCCGTCAGCGCGGCACTTCCGACGCGCATCAAACAAATAAATAATACAGGCGGCATCCAGCCACTTCAGTGAGCGCCGGGGAACGCGTGGCAGCCCTGCTCCCGCGCCGGGGCCGTGTGCCGCAGGGACACCCCGGTGCTGCACGGTGTCCCCAGGCGTGTGCCCGTGCACGGGCCGGGCACGTGCCCCACGGGGAGGGATGCACCATCCCCTCCGGGCTGGGGCCCACGGCACAGCACCGCGCGGGGCAGAGAGCCCAGCCCGGCACGAGCAGCGCTCGCTGGTGGGGGCATGGACACCGTGTCCTCCTGGCACTGGGGCGGGTGTCTGTCTGTCTGTCTGCAGTCCTGTCCCTCTGCCCTCCCTGGACAGCACACACCCCACCTCCCTCCATCCGTCTCTCCTTCCATCCATCCCAATCCATCCATCCATCGTCCTTCTCCATCCCTTCCTCCCTCCATCCATCGTCCTTCTCCATCCATCCCTCCACCCATCCACCCCTTCACCTGTCCTTTCCTTCCTCCCTCCTTTCTCCTCTCCCTCCCTCTCCCCTCCTCCCTCCATCCCCCAGCATCCCCAGACCCCCCGTGTCCATCCGTCCGTCCTTCTGTCCCTCCACCCAGCGTGTCGCGTCCCCATGCAGGAGTCCTCGTGCATCTCCTGGCACAGAGGCACCTCCCTGGTGATGCCAAGCAAAGCCCAGGCTCTTTGGGGGTGCTGGGGGGTTTGGGGTCCCGGCTCTCTCTGCAGGGCTCGGTCACCTCGGCACCGGGGCTGGGGGGATGTGCCGGGAGGATGGGGGCTGGCGGGCACTGTGCCCCCTCCTCGCCTCACCCTGCCTGCGAGTGGGGTCCTTTGGTCGCGGCGGGGGGTCCCTGTGAGCGGCCTCCCCCTGCGCCGAGTCCCCGGGGTGCTGGAGGGCACCTGGGTCCCTGGGGCCGGGGAGCAGCGCAGCCCCTGCTCACGCCCCAGGCCCCCCCAGCGTGACGCCAGCCCCACTGCGGCAGGGGGCCGACCCGCGGCCCCCCCCCCGCCCCGCC